CAATCTCCCTTACTTTTCGCAATGATTTTCAAATTTCCCCAATTTTCTAAGTTTTTCATGAAATTTGAAATTTTGAAATTTTAGAAATTTTCATATGGGAATTTCGAGATATTTCGGGACCCATTTTCTTCCTCCTTTTTATATTAGGATTAATTCATGGAATTATTCCCGATATCCTCTCATTCTTTATGTTTGTTGTAAATTTCGGGGAAACCCCGGGTCAGATTAACGGAAAAAAATTCGATCCAACGATTTCCTGACGTTTTGAAAGATGTGAAACGCTGTATAAATTCCCTGTCGTCTATTCAAAATGCATATACTCAAATCAAGTACAGAATATACTTGATTCAAGTATTAATTTGTTTTTCGCGCACCCTTAAATATGGGCATATATGTATATATGCGTATGATGCTAAGTGGGACACTGGCAAGATGGTGGCAATACGGATCGATATAAACGCGGCAGCGCCTGCCGCAAACTCTCACTTGCAGCTTTTCTCCGCACGTTTAAAAGCCCTACATTGTTACCCCATGAATTACAATAGTGTTCATCCACAAAAGCCACAACACACCCTTCACAGCCCTCATTCCCCCCCATCAATCCCGTTTGCCAAGCATTATTGTACACAATAATGGAAATAAAAATAGAATCGCGGAAAGTATCAATTCTGGATTATTCTCTGATCTTCACTAGCTAGTCAGCATTTTGAAATCAAAATATAACCACTGTACTAGTACAAAACTTGGCAGAAGTTTTGACAACGTTAAAACATTATGCCTGCCATACATTTTTGAAGTAACGACCACTGAACATGCGACTGGTGAGAAATAAAAAAAAAATGTTCTGGGTACAAATGGGTCAGGAAACCAATGGTCAGTCGATCTTTGTGTTTTCATCGAGAAATAGCGTTACACTGTTTACACGCAAAACATTTCCCTTTCCCTCTATTAAAAATATTTGGGTAAAGAGATTGAAAAGAACTCGTTGTTAAAAAATCTATTTCAAAAACCTGAAATGCATTATTCATGGAACTCTCTTGAAACTAATAAAAAATCATAACAAAACAAGACGACTGGGCACAAAGAAATACTTGATGACGATCATTGCAAACAAATCATTTTCAAGATTTATTTAATCTGAAATTGTAAAAATAAACTCCATAGGAGCACAAAGAGGCACGTCGATGCTCGTGACAAAAGGCCATTTGGTTCCAGGGCGCCAGCCTGAATAGCCAACACTGAAATCGATATCTTCGTCTGTACATTCTACACAGTTACACACGTTGACATGAAAGACCATTTAATTAACTATGAACGAAAAAAGGGGCCCCCTTGAAAGAATCTTAATGAATTTAATCATGCTTCCTGCGTCCCTCAAAGTATCACTATTATATTACGCTATCGAGAAGATTAGAAGAAGATTAAAATTCTTCATTATAAACCTAGTAATTTAATCATAATTAAATTGATTAACATGAACTCGGAAGTATCTGCTACTCCTTCGTTCATACCGAGGGGAGACGTTAGCATAAGGCTCTCTTAATTGACCCCAATCGATTGGACCTATAGTGAATGCGGAAGACAGATAATTGAGGATCTTAATAATATAAGGTTGAGCTTAGAGGGCGGTTTATGTTATAAATTGATCGATCAATGAGGAAAGACCCAAATGCATCATTAATATATCTCCCGGTCGAATGAGATGTCGATGGAAATTGAAAATGATTTAGCTATAATGAAAGAGATTACGTTTTGTCGCGTTAATTATCACGTCTCTATGTACCCTAGATTTATCTGTTTTTTATGATCCAGTTTATTTATTATAAAATTATGGGAGCCTGGGGCTATATAGGCACCAAGATTGACTAAGGCTTGAAAACTCAAAACGAATATCTATGACAATTTCCTATTCTTGTTTTGGAATATATGAATAGGATCTAGATGAATTTCGAAATGAACGGATTGAGTGCCACCACTTTATCTCCCCTTTTTTCCCGAATTTTAGTTTTTTCATTTTTTCTCTTTTCAACGTTTTCTATTCTTAAATTTTACTATTTTCTCGAGTGCCCCATATGTTGCAAAATTCTATTTGTCACAGCAATAATTTTCATTAATAAAAAAAAATCCTTAACTATATTTCAGGTTCCAGTCAAAACAACACCGTTGATTACTAGTATAATACCCGATTAAATATCAAAGATGTATATGGAGATCCGTGGAAGTTCCGTTAAGTGCCCTTTTTATATTGTTCGCAGAAGTGTAACGATAATCACACGCTGAGAAAAATTCTTGAGTGCGTGCACATTTTACATATCCTCCAAAGATCAAAGTCACCATAAATATGACAATACCAGAAGGTCGTTAACCTTCCCTCCACCCCTTTCACATTAACAGAGATTTAAATCTTTGTTCGATTTTACGGGTTGTTGGAATTCTCACATGAAAGATGCTTTTCACCCGAGTTTAGAAATTTTTTTTTTGTTGAAGATAATGACAAGTCTGGACGATTAAGTACAGAAGGTCTGGGGTCAGTGAACCTTTTTCATGTGCATGAGTGAGAAAGGGTGTCTCCACCCCTATTCCTTAATTTTCTAGCTTTCCCAGTGGGGATTGCTATTGAAATTTTGCACCTAGAGCAAAAGCTCACCGGACATTAACCTTACGTTAACCTTAACTCTGGGAAATCCGAGAAGAGGGTCTTGGAAAATGTCACATGCATCTTAACCGATGTGGTTTATTGAAGAGGATTATATCAACAGGGTGACAAATAATACTGAGGCTTGTGCGAGCACGAGGAATAATTGATTTATCCAATCGAGACAAATGTTCAATCAGAATATTATGAATTATTTAATAAAAACAACGGAGGAAGAATAAATATCGATGACTTATGAAATTTCCAGATTAACATTGACACAAGAGATTTTTCATTTTTAAGATTTGAAACATTATATCATACTGACAACTGGAAATAACCAATTATCGAAGATGATAATCTGTTGAATTATTTCGATATTGAGTCATGCTTCGAAATTAAACTCCAAATTGATACGTCTCATTAGTCTCTGACAGAAAAAATATTTCCATGACGACCTATAGCTCACGTAATATGGCACTCATTCAATTACTAATCATTAATGGAAAACTATGAAACCAGGAATTGAACCCTAATGTATTTTCATTTTTCACGTTGTTTATCCGATGAAATATCTCATGACAAGTGTTTAACAATTAATTTCACTCGACTGATTTAGTGAACCAAACCGACAGGTAAGTGACGATTTGCGATGAAAATTTCAAACAAGGGACAATAAAAATTTGAACAGAGCTGAAACCGATAAAGACTCAGCCCGGACGAAAATTCAGATGGACGATTGCCAAAGAGATAAAGAATGTTCCGTTGTCAGACACGAGCACTCAAGTGATTAGGATAACAGTCATAGTTGAGATTCAACGTGTCAGACGAAATAGAAAATCAACGGGCATGATCACAAAAGAAATCAAGAAGAGAGAGCAGAGTGAGTTGAAAAAAATGGAGCCCCCGGTTAAAATCCGATTAATCTATTACGGTACAGGACCTAGGCCAACGGCCAATAGCTGTTTGAACCCTCTCCCTAGCTCGTTTCCCATTACATCCTAAAGTGTATTCTGTGTGAAACCCAAACTCAGCGGGAGCTCTCACTCCTGATATTGATCAGCACCAAGGCATACCACTGAAGAACTGGAAAAACGGCTCTAGTCGATTATAGAATGATTCCGTTAACGAATCATTTCAGAAAATTTTTCTAGTCTGAGAAAAGTTCTTGAATCTACGATAAATCATAATGCTCACAACGGATGGATAATTAACTCGTTGGTAAATTATTGATGTACTTTTATAATGAGAGCAATGCGAACGAAAATCATGAGCAGTCATTAATTCTATGTCGGTTGGGAAAAGTTCCTATGAACAAGTACCATGTTCTCTTTTAATAGCACTTATTTTTGCCATGCCTTCTTAATGAATGAAAGTAATTAACCCCGAGCTATTATACAATCCAGCATTCATTAACGTGCGGATGTCCTTTTCATCAATTTCAAACAAGCTGATTATATCAATACCATCCACCAACACACGTTCACACTATATTCACTACGAACATTCACATTGTCCTCGATAATCTTTATTACAATTTGTAAATGTCATTTGAGGGGACGCCGGGGTAATTTGAAAATCCCAGCCACAGCCATGTCTTTATCAAACGAATTTTTATACATAATGGATTTTACTGGAAAGTTGATTTTACCCCATGATTTAACAGAAAAGAATAAGTTTTTTTATTTTTACATTAAAAATTGTCCAAGTGCCTCAATTTCGATCCGATTAACATTTACTTTTTTTTTTAATATTTGTTAGATTCTAATGAACAAACACATGTATCCGGTTTACGATCCTCCGAGCGGATGAAAAAAAAATTGATTAAAAATTGATGGATCAATGCGAATACCATGAAACTAAAAAAAGAATTGATGCAATCTCGTAATCGTTAAACGAATGCAAATCTTTGTACTTCGGATTCTAATGAAAGATTTGAAAAAAAATGTCAATGTAATGAAGATTGAGGCAGTCCGATGAATTCATTGGAAAAATACAAAACCTCGTGTTTCTGGGATTTTCTTCACGAATCGGCGACATAATAAAAAGACAACGTGCTATGAAATCAGCAAAGTGGTAAACTAGAATAAGCGATTTTTTTTCGAGGCTATTTTCCAGTCAATATCTCGGAATGGAGAGAACATATCGAATTTTTATCAAAAACATGTTTTATCGAAAAAGATGACAGCTACAAAAAAGGTATCCTTGAAAATCTCATGATCATCCTTCCTGGCCTTGAAAAAAATGCCCTTATCCTAGCTGACCACTTCGCAAAAGAAATTTGTCCCCTCGGCGACTAGACCAGAATTAATACAAATGTAGAATAGAATTTGGAGTCCCTTGTGAGGGGTAAAATTGCACTTACCTGTTTGCCGGGTCTTGGTAATGTTTCCATATTGGTTCCGGCAACAACGGGTGCTTTTTCCGGTGCGCCGTTCTGTTGTCCAAGCTTATCGGTGGCGCTAACGTCGGTGCCCTCACCACCACTCCCTTTACCCTCCTCAACACCCGTCATCCTTGCGACCTTATTTTTTCCCACCCCCCAGGGAACACGTCACCAATCCCTCTGACCCCCCCAGCACGATTTATTCTCCCCACTCCCTCGCTTTTATCCTTTATTTTCAATACACACGCTTTGCCTTTCAACTCCTTGGTCTTTTTCGATTATTTTCACACACTCAATTTCACCCCAAAAAAGTCACTTTTCCTTTATTTTTTCCGGCGCAGTTTCACCCCCCTCTGGATGTTCCCTGGAAAAAAAAAAAATATATGTACAATACAGCAACAATGGTAAATTGACTTCTTTAAACGCTTTCATGTATATCCTGCTGAGATTAGCGGATTCTCTATTTACGTTCATTGGATTATTCGCTACTTTTACGTGATGAAAATGGAGGGATAAAATTTTTTTTTTGGAAAAGATCAGTCTATGGGAGAGGGGATTTATTGGTGTTATGAGGGGAACTGGAATATTCGAAGGCCAGATGCTCAGAAATGCGCGCATTCATTCAACTACTCTTTACGATTCAACATTAAATCGTCAAAGGATATTCCACTGATCCCAACAAAAGTTGATCATGAATTATCCCCTTGTCCTCACCCCAACGAATTCCACATATGCGACTCATGTTTTCAATCGAAATACCCGAGGTATAGTAATGGTACGTGTAAAGCCCAAAATAAATTCACACACTGCCCACATGAAAAAACCGAACCGCGCCCGACTCGTAAATCTGTTATTACGAATTACAACAATCTAATGATGAATTAAATTGAAGTGGTAATTGAAATTAATAGTCAAATGATTGTCCAGTCACTCCAGTAGTAATGACTTCATCTGTAGAAATGCTCGTGTTATCTCGGAATAATTAAGACTAACAGTGGAAATGAGAGAAAACAGTCGAACCGTAACACCGGATCGAAGACAACAATCGCGCACCTCCGGATCGATTTTGGAGTCATTCTCCATAACCCCCGATGAACGTTCCCCTATCCCCCTTCTATAACAAAATAAAATCCCAAAAACGGAATTTCACATTTTCCTCAAAAAAAAAAAAAAATTGAAAAACCGAATGAACCGAATCATGCATTATTTATAACACCGACGAGATCACATAACGCTCCGAAAGAAGAGGCAAGAAAATCCGGGAGGCCCTGTTATAGTAAAACAAAAATTAATGCAATATACATCCTCAAATAAAAATCCAACTCTCCCTAAATTTAGTAGATTCACCATTTGCTCAATAAAGGATAATTTTTGTTTATCATTTGGTTGTTTTAGTTAACGTAAATGGAATGATTATTAACACTGAACTCACTCTTTGTCAAATGACAAATGTTTTTAGTAACATTTCACTCATCCCCGACTGCTTGTAGTTTGTTTTTCTCTTACTTCAATGATATTTCATTGGTTTTTGTATGTAATCCGTTTGCAACAGCTCAGTAGGTTTTTTCGTCGATTGTCAACGAAGTGACTGCCCTCCCAGACTCTTTTCCGCCGCTATGGGTTGCGCTGTTATGTGCGCCAACTCGTTGCTGTACAATTCTGATTGCTAGCTGTCCCCTGCTGTCGCCCCTGCTGCTGAGTTTGCTTGCCGAGGTATTCCTCAACATTTCATACTCAAACAGATGGCGCTATGATGCTCCCTTTTTCACTAAGGTATGATACAGGGAGGTATTGTCAAGCTTTGACATCACCGACACCAAAACAGGGGACAAGTACCTTCAGACGTCGTACGTAGCGCTGTATAACGCCTTCTCCTCATGTGCGTTTCGTCCCCACAATTCAGCGATTTCTGGCGGTTACATTTGAATGCCAGTCCAGTCGTTTGATTTTTTTTCTTTCAAATTGACATGAAAAAAAAAGGTATGGCATAAAAATTGTCGACAAGAGCATAAATGAACAATGGGTATATGATTATTTCAATAAGAGAGATTCTTACCCTATTGACTATTTTTTCATAAATCAAGTAATTAAGCTGAAACTCTTTCCACGTCACCCAAGATGTAGAGTCCTTGACGCGTTTTTTTTAACGTTTTTTTAAAGACAATCCAACCGGGCCTTCATTCCAATTTCAAAATGCGACACTGCAGCACAGTCAATCACTTGGTTATACACGCACTCGCGATTTATGTGATGGAGCCATATCTACTGGCATCTCGACATCATCTGATCGAGAGATAAAATCATCTCGAAAATTCAAACCCCCGAACCGACCACGAAAAAATCCGCGGAACGGATACGATATATTAATAAATAAATTTCACTCACCGGCGTTGGATGAAAATAAGTCCGCTTTCAATTTTCACCTTTCGAACGACCTACCTTATCTGTAAACATAAAAAAAAACAAATTGTTAATAAAATTTCGACAAAGTAATTTTTTTACTGCAAAGGCGTTTTTTAATTTTGATTTGAGAGTTTTTATTTTCAATTATTATTTAAAATTATTTATTATTTTTTATTTTAAATTTTTTTATTTTATTGGAGAGTTAATTGAATAATTGAAAATTGTTTGTAATGTAGGCATTGAATATATCAAGAATCAGGAATGAAAAAAATGACATGAAAATAAAATGAAAATGATGCTTCAAGGTTATAAAAAAAATGCATACGAAACTCACCTTGCAGTCGGTTGCAAGATTCCCTCCAATCCTGATGATCTCCATGTGATTCTCACGCCAAAGGTTGAAGTCGGTTTGGAAGCACTAGCACTCGAGACAGTTCAAAAATTCACCAATCACTCACCACACAACCAAGAATGTTTTATCAACTCAAAATCCACAAAGATCAATAAAATAATATCAAAGATCAAATAATATTTTTCATCGTTCAAAATAAAATGAATGAGAAAAGTAATCCTTCGAATCTAATTCGCACTCTCACTTCAGTCCATATCTAAACACACACTAAACAATTCCGAGAAACGGACAAAGGAATGTAAACACAATGACGCCGGGCGGCCGTTCGACAATACCGAAGTTGAGTGTAACAAAGAAAAAATTTCAATCACTCAAAATGCACTGATAAACTGTTTAAAAAATTATTTCACATCGCAAAATCACTTGCACTGAGTCCCGCACTTTTTATTTTCAATGTTCACAGGCGGCGCCGGTTTTCTACACTCATTACGACCCCGATGTTACCGGATTTTCACTACGTGACACACAACCAACCGTTCCATGTGCTGCCGCCGAACGACTGACTCCCCTCCCCACTCGAAAATGGCGAGGCGTTGGAGACGGCGCTCGGGTGGGGGTCGCCAGGCGATACTCCGCGCATGCGCACAGAACACCATGCATGCGCACAGAAGACTGTGCATACGCACAGCAGACCGAGCATACGCACAGAACACCGCGGGCAGTTTCAATTTGACGAGATAATAAAAATTGCGATAATTCTTAACCTAATAAATAATTCTCTCTTAAAAAAAAAAGTGCAATCACGTAAGGATCTCTGAAACGGGAATGAGAGTATCAGATACATTGAATAAACCCATCGATCCCATATATAGGGAAGTTAATATGAGCGAATTTTTTTTAATTTATAAAAATGCGATTCGAAAAATTTCGAAATTTCAAATTTCAGTGAATACCTCCTCCATTTTTATGCTCCTCTGATACTTTTTTGAAAATTGTTTATTTTTCCATTTCAGTGAATACCAATCGGGACGATCCCGCCATTACGTGTGGCGCCGTCCCTCTCTTGGGGTGCAGTACTACGATGCCGGTGGGGTCAGAACTGAGCCTCTACTTTAGTCAATCCTCTTTGACCCCGTCGATGGCATCCTATACCAATCATATCGCTCAACGTGGTAACCTCTACACAACACTGAATATATACTTCTGCGCTCCGACCTATACATATATATAAAACACCAATGCAATATACATTGGTGAATATAAAAATGGCAAATCTGTCGGCAGTAACGTACGCGTTAAATGTTATCGAAGGTTACAATTGGAACAGCTGATTCAGTGCAACTTCACATATCGATAATTGAACCATAAAGTTCACTATTGAAACAATAATCGAATGATTATCAGACTTCCATGGTTAGTGATGATTTGGTCCTGATCGACGATGACAGGGTCCCTGGAATATACGTAAACAGGCGTTCAAAAATAATCCACGTATGTGTTAACCTTCAATGATAACGTGATTGAAGATTATATTCTTACCTAAATAAAAGGAATGGTGACTAATAAACGTCACTAATGTGTATATATTATTGACGTAAATGTGATATTAATTAAAGTGAAGATGAGAATGAGAGCTAGGGCATACATTTTACTGGGGCTGACGGTGTTGACATTGGTGAGAGCAGATGTTGTCAAGGATAATGATAAGGAGAATGCCAAGAAACCGGATGGAAAAACGACAATTGAGGAGAAAGATCCTGACGTGGGTATCGAGGATTTGACGGATGTTTTTGAGCAGTTGAGAGAGCTCAGGGCACTCAGGGATTCTATGCTGAAGCTCGTGCCGGTTGCCAATCCTTTCTCGGATGATACAATCACCAAACAACCGAAAGAATCAATCATCAGCGATGAGGAGAGTTCAGTTGAGAAGGACAGTTCGTTGAATTCGAATAAAAATGCTGCTTTGAGGGAACTACTCAAAGCTGCCAAGAAAATTGGACTCCGGCCTGTGCCAGAATTTTCCAGTTCCGAGTCCCCAATTCCTAGTTGGGAGGAAGAGTCTGAAGAGGATTATAGTGAACTGGAAGAGGAACCACAGGAACCATTGACTCCAGAGCAGCAGGAAGGTTTGTTACGGCTATTATTAATATACAGAAAATACTTTTCACTTTGAATTCCCTTGGCAATTACAAATATGTCAGATACCTAAAAGGTCGAAGTTAAAAATGCAGCAACTAAAAGTGCATTCGCATTGTTAAAGCTTCATTACGAAAAAATTCAACTTGAGAATATGTTGCTTCATTATTCTTCTTTTTCATTATTCCATTTCATATTCTTCCACTTCATTATTTTTAATCTTTTTTGCAGATTTCTATCGCAATGTCCATTGTAATTAACATAATAGAGTACACCGTCTTTGAGATTTAATTTTATCCACTGACTCATCAGTTTTTAAATCATGTCTATTCTCTTACGTCTTTTCACTATAATAAAAATTAGAAAAAAAAATGGCGAGTCATTGAATAGTAATGAAATTCAAAAACGCAATATTTTTTCACGTCAACCCGGCCCTCAGTTTGAAAAAAATGTACGAAAACTTTAATAATGATGGAATACCAGCGATGAACCCAGAGTTAACTCAAAGAATTGATTCAGGGGAGAATTAAATGAATTTTAAATGAAATGAATTTCATATTTTCAGCTGAGGAGTTGTTCAGAAAGGCCCAGAGTATGCTGAATGCAACAAGAAGTAATAAAGCAGAGGCTTATAAATTTATTACGGCAGCTGCAACTTTGGGGCACAGAGAAGCTAGATCGATGCTTGCATGGGCATTGTTGCTTGGGACCCAAACAGGGCTTCCAACTGTGAATCAGCATATTCCAGCTGCTTTTCAAACGTTCAAAGAGCTAGCTGAGACGGGGCTCCCTTCAGCACACATGGTATTTGTTTAATATATCTGTAAAAAAAGAAGTTGTTCAAAGTGAGAACTAATCAAGCGAATTTTGATACATACTGGAATCCACTGATAACAATTATAATCATAATTAATTTCAACTTATAAATGAAAGGGAAAAATGATCAAATGAGTCACAAACATCATTACCTAATTCCACATGTTTTTGTCATTTAATTTAGGGTATGGGATTTTTCTATGCGATGGGTCTCAACATGCTGAATGTATCTCAAGGAAAAGCCTACCTACACTACACGATAGCAGCACTGGGTGGTGATACACGAGCGCAAATGGCCGTTGGCTATCGACATTGGGCTGGAATTTCCACAGCAGCGAATTGTGAAAGAGCCCTTGACTTTTATCGTAAAGTAGCGGATAAAGTTGCTGAGCAAGTCTCTCTCAGTGGAGGTCCTGTTGTTCAACGAATCCGTCTGTTAGAGGAGCAAGAAAATCCGGAATATAATTCTGGAATTTTGGATGACGATTTGATTGAATATTATCAGTTACTGGCGGAGCGCGGGGATGTGCAAGCACAAGTGGGATTGGGACAACTTCATTATCAAGGAGGAAGGGGAGTTCCTCTCGATCATCAGAGAGCGTTGGATTATTTTCAACATGCTGCTGATGCTGGAAATCCTGTAGCTATGGCTTTTCTTGGAAAGATTTATCTTGAAGGCAGTGACATTGTTCAACAAGACAACGAAACTGCCTACAAGTATTTCGCGAAAGCGGCAATGTTAGGAAATCCCGTAGGACAAAGTGGTTTGGGCCTGATGTATTTATATGGCAGAGGGGTTGAACGCGATACAGCAAAGGCACTTCAGTATTTTTCTCAAGCAGCTGATCAAGGTTGGGTTGATGGTCAACTTCAATTAGGCAATATGTATTTGAGTGGTACAGGCGTTCGTCGTGACTACAAAATGGCAAATAAATACTTCAATCTAGCCAGTCAATCGGGCCACGTCCTGGCATTTTACAATCTTGCCCAGATGCACGCAACCGGTACAGGAATGATGCGGAGTTGTCCTACAGCAGTGGAGCTCTTAAAAAATGTAGCTGAGCGAGGAAAATGGAGCGACCAATTGATGACAGCGCACACTGATTACAAAGAGGGTAGAGTCAACCAAGCCTTCATTCGTTACGCCTTACTAGCTGAAATGGGATATGAAGTGGCCCAGAGTAATGCAGCATTCATACTAGACCGAGGAGAAACTGGAGTGTTGCTGCCTGAAAAGGGTTTAGTAATGGCTCTGGCCTTTTGGGCGCGTGCAGCAGTCCAAGGATACTCTCCAGCCCAAGTTAAGCTTGGAGATGCTCATTATTATGGACGTGGAACTCGAGTTGATTACGAAGCAGCTGCTGGATATTATAGACTGGCCTCTGATCAACAACACAATGCTCAAGCTATGTTCAATCTTGGATATATGCATGAAAGAGGACTAGGGTTGGCTCGTGATCGACATTTAGCCAAACGTTGTTATGATCTAGCTGCTGAGGCTAGTCCTGATGCTCGTATCCCTGTTGCTCTAGCCCTTATCAAATTGTTTCTCCTATTTGGCATCGATTATCTCCAGGAGTTCAGTTTCGCTGAGAAATTCAGCACGTGGGATGAACTGTTTGGTTCCAATTGGGATCTTTATCTCATTGGATTTTTCACTGGTTTAGTCTGTCTCATAATTTACTTGCGCAGACCGCACCCACCACTTGACGGAGTTAATGCTGCTGATAATTAATTGACTATTACGTTAATTTCATTCGTGTCTATCTATAGAGCAGTTGCCAAGTGAAGAGACCCGATGAGTTGACTTTATATTTGGGAAGATGAGTTTTTTGTGAATATCTTTGACCTTTGGAGATACGAGATTTGTCATGGAGATCTTCTCATAACGTAAAATAAAGAATAGTCTTTTGAAAGAAAATCTGATGATGTTATGCTGCTTCAAGTTGTTTTGGAAGTTTGCAACTGAAACAATTCTGGTTCTCAGCTCAGAGTTTATAAAATATTTATGTAAAAATATTATTGTGTCTCATTCTCAGTAATCGTGAGTTTCTTGTTCTGTTGACCAGTTCATCAATGTCTAAGTCACAACGTTTTTTTTTTCAATTGAGTTAATTGTACTTGGATGAGAATGTATTCAATAGATGCTGAGCTCAGAGCCATTGAGATTTGGTTTCAAAACAAAACAGTTGGTTGTTTTATCTACAAAGAAAAACATGAACGTAAGAATCAGTTTTGATGTTTGCTGAGTGAGAAAAATATATTGTCCAGAACCAAATACTTGTTGATGACTGATGTTTGTATTATGGAGGAATAGGGAAGCAGAAATATAAGAAAATATGAGTAAATAAATAAGTTCATATAAAATTTGTGAATAAAAACTTTATTTATGTCATTGATACTTGATTGTTGATTTTTTTTCAGAATATTGTGACCAATTCTCAAAAGCCACTGTTATGTCTTTTGTAAGTACTTCTGTAATTAAAGAATCGTAAAAGGAAAAAATTATTCTTGTAGGTAAAAACATTCAAGATGAAACTGTTTCTTGAAGTTCTCTTATAATATCATTCTCGGTTTCCCAATGCATGAATCAAAAACCATAAACCAAAAAAAATGTATACCGAGTTTGATCTGTTCCTTCCTTCAATTTCTGTACTAGATCGCCATGGTTACCATAAACACAAGTGAATTAATGACAAAATGTAAATAGCAAAGCCATTCGATAACATTGCATCGTAGTAATGTGAAATGAAAGACTAAATCATGGGAAAGAAGAAGAAAAAGGGAGGTGATAAGGAAAAGAAAGCTAAGAAGAAACCTGCAGCTAATGAAAAGGATATAGTTTTCTATGAGCAACAGATTCTCGATAATAATCGACAATTAGCTCGGTACAGTGATTATTTATCATGATAAAATAATTCTTAAAATATTCTATACATTAATCGCATCCTTTCCAGGCTCAAAACTCGTAATGAGTTTCTTGAGGGAGAATTGGATTCCTTAAAAGCTCAATTAACTCGTCTAGAGGACGATCGATCTGATGTTGTTGCACACTTGAAGAGAATTCTGCAACAAAAAACTGAAGAAGCTAAAGAACTTGGCGAGAGATTGTTAGCTATGGAAGAACTTCGCAAAGATGAGAAACTCGTGTTTAAAAATAAAGAAGAATCGATGTTGCAGGAGTATCGTAACATGGAGACAAATCTCAACGCAGAAGTAAAATTAGTCTGTAAGAAATAGTCAATGGTTTCACTACACACACAATTTGTTGAGAAATAGTGGAATGGCTGTTTCTTATTTCTACTAGATAATTTATTCTTTAATAAATTTCTATGTTTAGCTGGGAAATTGAACGCCCTCGAGGATTGGAGGAATGCAAGAGCTGAATTGACACGAAAATTCGAGATTCAAGAGGAGCAAATGGCAGAGCAAGAGCAGAGACATTGCGAAGCATTATATGAAGCTGAAAAATCATTAGTAATTGGAAAAGCCCAGTAAGGATTACATATCTAGTGACTAATTGAAAAAATTGAGTCTGACTGGAAATCATTGAAATAATTTCAAAAAATCCTTTATATTATTTAATTCCAAAGAATTTCTATAAAAAACAGACTTGGGATGTCTTCACATTTGTTGAATTACTTTCTTTTTAAATAATTGTCGAAGTATCCAAAAAAATGTTTAAAGCTTTTTCTTCATGTAATACATGATTTTTTATCTGACAGGATGCAAAGAGAGATGCAAGAGCGCTTGAACAACCTGGCCTTGAGCTTTCAGGAAGCTACAAATCTCCGGATGGCCGATGGAACCCAACGAGCAATTCGTGAAAACATAGCCCTTAACAGCGAGCTAGACAAAACATATAAAATTCGACAAGAGCTCGAGGAGAAAATGCAGATCTGCAAAGAGACTAACGAGAACACGAAACTGCGCGCATCATTACTCCATGAGGAATTGCAGATAGCTTTGAATAAAGTATTTGAACAGAATAAATTTATCGAGAAGATTGCAGAAGATCATTTGAAGAATGTATTACTCCGAACTGAAGAACAAAGAATTAATTATTTGGTGGACACAAGAAATCAATGGATGGAAACGTTGAGAGATAGACAGATAACAGCAGACACTGCAGCCAGGAAAATCGACAAAACTATTTTCGATGTTGAGAGAGAAACGACAGATATTTTGGACGATGTGCGGGATAATCAGCTACGAATTAAGCAATTGAGTAATATTCTACAGTCTGTGAAAGGCGTTATAACACAATTATCAGGAGAAATTGGAGATAACGATCGAACTCCTTGTGTCGCCTGCGATGGCAATTTTAAGACAAAACTTTTGGAAATTTATACGATTTTAGAAAACTCGAATATAACGAAAATTCTAAAAGCTTGAGTTGATTTTTTCTTTCAGTCTTTTTTTACTTTCGACTTTTTTGCAATTGGAACCATTGTTTTGTTTCATATTGATTGATAAGTTTTATTCCTAATAGTGGATTGCATTATTTATAAATAATTAGTTATTCAGTTTAATAGTGGAGATTTTCCATGGAACGTTCTCTTTACAATAATTTTTTCATCGCCAATGAAATTAATGAAAGAATGATCTTTTTATGCATTAATTTCAAATTAACATTAATTATTTCGAATTATTCATTTGTTACCTAAATTTTTAAATGTATGCATATTTAGAACATTTTCGAAAATTCAAATCTTTCAGAGACTCGAACGGGAAAATCTTGTGAATTATTTGATTCTTGATTGTTTTTCCTTTCATGTTTTTTGTGAATCTTGAATTTCATTTTTCTGTGAATCTTATTTCGAGATTCCAAATTCAAGTAATAATGGAATTGAGTCAGGCAGTTGAAGAGGAAAAGATATATCCGACTTATTTGCAAAAAGAACTGTATGAGATTCAAATAAAGGATATCACAAATCGAATAGAAAGGTTAAAATTATTTTAATTTAAACATTAAAACGATTCAGTTATTCTTATTTTCACATTCTGTAAACTATTCATTTCTCCTTGTATTTTTGTTACTCAACCATGAGGAAAATAGAAAAGGTGGAAATCGCTTACAATAGATTTTAATGGATTCATCCATTATTTTTGTAGATTAGATGATCGAAACTATGACGTGCTGGATATATGTGAGGACATTAAAAAGGATATTGAATTTACTGACATAAAAACATCTGATGAAATTACTGGGATAAATCGAGAACTGTACGCTGAATTATCGAAAATAGATAATCGCAAAAGTGAAATAAGATCTGTTGAACAACAAAGGATTGATGATCAAGAAAAGCATGAAAGGAAAGTTGATGAATTCAATGAGAAGTATCGAGTAACATTTCGAGCATTGGTCTCGAAAATTAAGACCTTGAGTGAGTTCACCATTCGAAATCAGAAGATTATTTAAATTGATGAATAGTCTGTCACGTCATAGAAATCAGTCAAAAATTTTATTTTCCTAGATTGAAGTTTTCTTCAATCATTCTTTAGAAAGTCAATTCTAAATTCAAAGTTGATCTTTTTTTTTCATTCTTACTTCGGGCGAACAAAATTTATCTTCTTGGCTAAACCAAAAATTCTTTCTTATTCAGTGGATTTTAATCTCGTTCATTTCATTTCCAACGTGACTTTATAACAATAATAACAAATGAGGAATTTGTCCTTAAAGACGCTAAAGTCAACGCCCTGGAAGACTACAAAAATAAAAGAGAAAATCTCCGGGAAAAACTCAAATCTCGAGATGAACTTTATTTGAAAACCGAGGAAGAAGTGACGCAGAAACTACAGAAAATAAAAATTCAGTATAAAATTGATAGAGCAGCGTAAGTAGTAATGAAAGTACATTCCGAAAATATTATTTTATTTTTTGCAATTCTCTTTAAGTATTTTTTTGTCGGGAATTTTATATTTTTTTGTCCTTGTTTTTCTCGCATTATTTTCTGAATATTTTATTCTGAACATATCAAAATTCACTCAAGGAAACCTAAAGTTGGAGTAAATTCAAACCACGAAATTGCTTGAGTCAGTATAGTCCTCCACTAACATGTCAACATCAATTTTTCCAAAGATATATTTTCCGTGTAGAGAGAAAAGTCGAGGAAACTGTATTATTCAATAATTTTTTAGATTACTCGATGATTTACAAAACCAAATATTCCAAAGAGGAATAGCTTATGAAGCTGAGAACTCCGCTAAAACAGGGCCCCTTACTAGAGGCTTGTTCAATAATAATATATTCATGAGGAATGAAATCAGCGCGATGTATCAAGAAATCAATCATGGAAGAGAACTCTGTGGCGAAAAAAAGTAATGATTTCAAAAATTCTAAGTGCCTTATCTTCTGGATATTATAAGAAATACGCAGCCTTATCAGAATTTACCTGATTACTTCTTCATTAACTGATTTTTTTTTTTAAACACATATGTTTTTATTGGGGAATTCTGCTGATGCCACTCATTTTCATTTTTTTTAGTCATTTTTTTAGTCGAAAGAAAATCTCTAAAGCTCTCAATAATATATTTATTACTGGATAAAAGTCTGATGAAAATAGGTGACCCACTAAAAAAGAATTCCGCAGGTGTGGATTGATTTTCAATGAAGAATTGAATTTTGCAGTGAGACGAAATCTTTCAATGAAGCCCGTGCTCGAGCTAATCATCTTGAATTGAGGCAAGCTCTTGAAACTTTACGATTTCAAAAAATATTGAGTGAACACTTGAATAAAAAGTGTAAAAAGCCTCCTACAGACAAAACAAACTCCATCTTAAAAGATGAACAACCAGATAACGATATTTTTATCGAACATCAAAGGTCACAAGTCGTGATTAGTGAACAAAATTTATCCAAAATTCAGACGTTACTGCACCAAAAAAAAGTGAAATTATTTTTTGCAAAAAATCAACAAAAACAGACGACAAGAAAAATTAATTCAATCACTGAAATTTTGTTTGATTTGAAATATGCTATTGCTTGTGCCCTAGACTTACCTGTTATCCATGAGTTGGGAATTAATATCTTGTCGCAAAATTTTGCACGAATGTCTAAAAATGAATTCTCGTCGTACTTATTGTCACGAATGGAACAAAATAAATAATCTAGTTATTTTTATCCGAAGGATGGAATAGGTACGTTGAATTTTCCAATTATTTGTAATGACTTTCCAACTCGAAATTTGAAAAACGGGAGGATCGAAAAGAATGGGCGTTTACTAATTCATCTTCATCAATCCTGTCGTTTTCATAGTTTCTATTGCAATATTTCGGTGAAAATATTATTTAAAATATATTTTAACATTTTTATACTGCATAAAAACACAAAATTTACTTTGATTTACTAGGTAATGTAATTTTGTGATCGGGCTTGATAAACTTCTTAACTTTCGGCTTGTTACGTTTCCTGAAAAAGAAATTGAATAATTACAATAAAACATTGATTATTTTGCTAAAAAATATTTCAAAGCAGGCGTCAAGAAATAATAAAATAAATATGAAATTTTTATCAACGCCTCCATGTACTATCTATCGAACGTAATTTCACAGGATAATTTGAAACCCCAAATTTGAAATATTTTACACTAACAAGATAACAATTCCAAACAAACATTATGGCCATGACGGAAATAATTCGTAACTTCATTCATCACTTGTCCAAAATACTGAAAGAAAAACAATGGAATACGTACAGAATCAATTTAGCGGGTGCCAAGATATTCCTCTGCTGCATCGACTTGAACCTGTCCTTCAGTAAATTACCAATAGGTTCTGAACCCCTCAAGTTTCCAGTAAGTTCGGGTCCCAGCTTGAAGACCTCTTCAGCAGGTTCAAACTTGGTCTTACTCAGGACCTTAGGCTCCTTTGCCTTTCTTTCCTCCATTTTCATCCTCATTCCCCTTAAAACCTCATTTTTCTTCTCCTTCCCCTCTATATTCTTCTGTATCATCTTGAGTTTATATATATCCCCAATCTTTTTCTTCTCCACCATCTTCGCTTTCAACTCCAGTGCCAGTTTCCTCTGTTCCTTCTGCTTTCTCCTTTGGACTCTTGTCTTCATGGTTTTCTTCACCATTAATTTAACAGGTTTGACGTCCACATCTTCATCGTCCTCAGGTTCAGACTTGATTTCAACATTCTGAGGTAATGGCAGACCCTCGGATGCATCCTTTAGCCAATTGTCATCCCTTTCCTTCGGCGAAACCTTCTTGAACATTTTAGTAGTAACTCTCTCAAGATGTGCCTCTTCTTTCATCAATTTCAGTTCTTTATCAGCGATCTCTCGGAGCAGAGTCTGGTGATCTTCATAAGAAGGGTTGTATGATGTTCCTGGATGTGGAACCTCGATGGTGGGTATTTGAGATTGTTTTTTATGGACAGCCAATGGAATTCGCCGTTTACTGATGCCCTTGACGATCAGCGTATGACGAACAGTATCATTTGTCAACCACTGCGTGTCAATTTCATCAAGGACTCTCTTCTTAGGCTCATCCTCCCAAATGTCCCCTTTGAAGTCATCCCTTTTGGGCCGATTTTTACGTTTTAATGTGGCGAGTTTACGGTTTCTCGCAGCAAGTCTTTCAGTTAATGTCAACTTCCCCTGGTCCTTTCTCAATTGTTCAAACTTCCTTGTGATAGGATTCTTTCGTTCTTCCGGGGTTTTAACACGATTGCGCTTTGAAATCGGATCTGGCACTGCTGTATGCGGTTTCAGTGCTGCATAACATTTGGGTTCTGCATTTCTTAAAGCCTCTCTGTATGCCGCTTTTGTACTGGTGACGTTTTTCAAGTCATCATCGGGGGTGGAGTCGAAGGAAAAGAGTTCTGAATCCGTTCGTTTTATGAAAGGTGTACCCAGACGTTCCTCCAGTCTTGAGTCTTCCAAAAAAGCATCGATATCCTTGGTATCCACGTGTTTACGCCAGGATTTCTTCGTTTTCTTCGAGACTCTCTTACGTTTTTTTATGACGTCCGTCATATTCGGTATGTTGTGGTAATTATGAAAATTGGAGCACAGAGCACTACTTGACACGTGTTATTCTTGCAGGTTATGTTACTTAGGAAAGGACTTGACAAAATCTCTGTTGTCTCTGTTGACAACGCATATAACCGATGGCAATGGAGGGATCTGTCTTCCCACATGAATAAAAAATAAACAACAGTCGTGTATTCAGCAGAGAATTAGATTTCTCATTAAATCCACGTATCTCATTTGAAAATCACTTAAGTAAGTCCAAGAACATAAATAATTTGAAAACTAATAATTTAATCATAATAAATCAGTTTCTATGTGGCATATAATTAGCGGATGGCGGGATAAATTATCAGATTGCATTAAATCAATTGAAATTTCTTGGGCAAAGAAAGCAATCAACAATTTTTGTTATGAAACTCAAATAATTTTGGCTGAAATGGGGTAGAACATTCTCAAGCAGACGGATAATATTAGAGTTATTACAGATGAGAATTAAAATCTAGTATGTGCTCACGTATTTTCTTTCCAATTAAATTATTCGAATTATTAGGTTCAGGCTTTTGAACTCCGGTGTTTTCTTTCGTTGACAGCCCTCTCGATCTTAAAACACATGTTCGACATAATAATAGTCATGCGCGTTGCACGTACACCGGCACTAACTCGTTATTCCAGGATTTATTAAAATTAGTATAATGAGTATACGTGACACGATAATACTCAACCCAATTCCATCATTAATCATTGCATTATTACTGCAGGTGCATAAATATATGCATGACACATTTTGCCAATTATCCTCCTGTTTTCGGCCTCATTCTTTTAATTAAGCTATAAATTTCATCCGTTGTTATATTTGCATATAAAGCAAGGCTCAATTCCAAATTCTACTCTGATATCTTGATATTATAAAACTCAATTATTATTAATTAGAGCACAATCCAAATGCATAGATTTTCGAGAGATTATTTATCTCGATTTCATGATTTCAAATGATTTTAATTAATTTCAATTGATTTCAAATTTCGAATTTCATGAGTTGCGCAATCGCAACCAGGCAAGTGAGCAAAATAGGAACAACTGGTAATGTGCCCGGTGACATAGCATAATAATTTTATACACCGAAATGTACATGCTCAACAGTGACTTGGGAGGTTCCCGGAAAATATCGATTTCTCTTCAAAATCTTGAAATGCGATAGTCGCGTTTTGTTCTGTTTTTGTCTACTACTGGAAAAACTTCTGCGTGAGATCGGGCATGAGTTAGCGAACGAAATTCGCAATATGACAAGTGGCTTCACTGATTTCAAATGATTTCAAATGATTTCAAATGATTTCAGATGATTTCATATGAAATCATTTAGATTCAGATCAATCATCCCAAGGAGACACAGTGATTTCACCAATGAACAAATATTCGTCATTTCTACCGGACATTATAAAAAAATTATGTGGCTATAACATAATAATTCAGATTCGTTTCGTAATTTTTTCCGAAATAACACTTCACCCCACATTTACGAAAGTGTCATCTCAGTTTTAGTGATTTTTTTTTCACCTTATAATTATCATATCCTGGGTTAATATTCTTGTTGTTGACAGAATATCCTTCCGATAGAAATATTACATACGCATTGAATCCATAAAATATTTCACACGATGAGATTCAATTATTAACGGAAGACGTTCCATCAGCTTATCATCCACTCTATCATAGCTATATTTTCTGTATCGCGAGCATGGATAAATTAAAGTAGAACTTCCTGTTGTGAAAAATAATAAAAAAACTTGACATTTTCTTGGGTTTTAAAAACAGTCTTAAAAACTTTTACGACCGCACGCGATTTTGAAAACTCAGAGATTCCACATGTTTTGAAACGCCTACGATTCTACCTTTTTTCGACGTTTTCAAACTGTAAAATAATCCTTCTCTAGTATTTTATGTAATTCGTGTATTTCTGAAAACCATTTTCTCATAAAAACGAACGTCTTCCAATTTCGGACTGACCTTGTCCTTGTTGAGATATCCATCGTAAAAATGTAAAATTATCGTTCCGCTCAATTTTTAACGATCCATATCTCAAAAATAGAGAGGCCCAAGTCTTGGAAATTTAAGTAATTATTTTCTATTAACCCTACAGTGTATGATAGAAACTCTGTGCCTTGCGAAATAATTTATTTCCTCATTAACGATTATTATCTCTTTACACTGTTAGAAATTCCTTGATATTTCACTCAGAAACTCATCTGAACTTTCAATTCCGTGAGTTTAAATTCAATCTCAATAAAAGAACGGTCCATAAATTTTTATTTCTCCTTTATATATGAAAATGTAATTTATACAAAAAATTCAATATCAAATATAATTGAATTGCCAATGGATTGAAAATTCAAAGAAGTATTTTCCGGTTTTCCGCTGTATCGACCTGAAAATTGATAATATTCAAGAAATTAACTGATTTGCCAATAAATAATTCTACAGAAATTTCATGTAATTTAATGGTTTGTCAATTCTTTTTTACTTGAAATTCCAAGTATAATTTAGTAATAGTGTAAGTAAGAATTATTATGATCGAATGATTGAATGACAAATGACTCAAAAGCCCAATTATTTAACCACAACATATTAATAACCATCTGAGTAAGTTCCCCCTATATCATTTCCGTTTCAGCAGTGACTGTTAGCGTTCCAGTTGTTGCCTGGGAATCGAGACAAGTAAAAATTTTCTCCACCCATGACGTTTAAGGAGATTCAAGATACGAACTGGTCAGACACCGGGACTTCCTCTCCTCGGACTTTTCAATGCCATCAACTCCTGATTTTTTCATGAAAAGCGAATGTCGCAGGGACATTCGCGTAAGCGGTAAGAATCTTTCCTAACGTCTTATTTTTTACTGCTCCACAGCTGAGATAAGATGGTAAGTATGAGGGCTATGAAAGAAATGAAGAGGCGTGAATGCTCATTTTTTTACTTCACACAAACCCTTGAGTGTTGACCTCAGCCTGTGGGCTTCCCCTTTTTTTTCCACAAACCTTTTTTCATTACAGTACTCAAAGGCTATTTTATTATGGAAGATCTCTTAATGAAAACTCTCATTAACAATCATCCAATCCCACTATGAAAACACTAAAACCAGATTAATCAAAGCGATAGGAGATGAGCTTCTTTACTTTTCCATTAGAATTAAAATCTTTGGAAGACCTCCGTTACAGCTCCTGTAGACAAAATGAGTGCTCCTAATGATAATGTTATGAAACGAATATTTCAATTGTGTTTTAATCAATTTTTTCATAGATATATTTCTGTACGTGAAAAACAATAAATGCTTCAATCAATTATATTTTATAATTGATTTAAGAATATATATATATAATATATAAATATTATATATATTCAATGAAAAATAATGGTACCTGACGTTGACAAGAGACGCATTAAAATCTAATTTTTAAATCATTATATTAATTTATAATTAGGTGTTTTAGAGATGAAGCTCTCGACATCTTCAAACTCTTTTTCGATTTTTCGATATTTCGATTTATCATGTCGAACGACCAATTGTTAATATTCAATGTTTTCCTTACGGAACAATTTTATGGTTTTCGATGAATTCACAGTCGTGAGCGATAGAATTTGTGAGAGAATATTGCAAACTCGATATTTCGATTCTTAATATGGACTTCAGAAAAAAATGGACCAAAAATTTTTATTGATCAATCCATTCCAATCTCTATCCGCCTCTTTGAAGTTTCGGAGAAGATAAGATTAAATATGAACGAACATCAAGGATTACTTGTCTTGAAATACTCAAGCAAATGTCGAATGAAAATTGCAATTATTTGTAGAAACGTGTTTTTAGTTTTAGTACATTCAATGTGTAAACAGATAAAGCAAACTAGAAAATATAGTCTAGAACGTAATGTACGATATTTCCGATCGGATGAATGACGAGATTAAAAACCTAAATTATCTACGCGACAAAAAATGTAAACTACGGGTTCAAATCCGTAATTTAGTAGTTCAGAACAGATAATTTATGAGTTCGAAGCCCGTAATTTACGAGGTTGCACCGCATAATTTACGATTTCGAAATCGTAACTTACGTTTCGATTATGTATATTAGCAATGAAAAGACGCTTTCTGCCAGCGATAGAAACGAAATAGACGGAGAGAAAATTCCACTAAAAAATTACCGAAAAAATCCGTAAAGTTGACAAAATGTGACGTAAAAATTCTTTCACACAATAATTCGTGAAATCGCTATTAGATTTTACAATTTAAAAAACGACGTAACTTCGTCGTGTTATTTTGATGACAAACCCAAAAGTGTACCGAACATTTCAATTTTTTCTCTTCTATATATTTCTATAGAAATCCAGCTGAACCATTGCCATTTGCGGAAGACGTCAAATATTCCGCTATTTTTCTTGAATATTTCTCTCGGTATGTCTTCACTAGAAAGCTTGATCCCCGGCAAAGAAGGTCTTCTGATTCGTCTACAATCCGAAACATTTTGACGTCATAAATTCCACCCCGTTAGCTCTCCCACCACTGGGCATTTTCGATCGGAGGGTAGTTTCACCCCCTAGCCGTTGAAGACCCCACAGCAGGACAATCGCACCCCATCACCATGAGAGGATCCTTATGCTCTTTATTTTTCCAATGAACAGTGAAAACCACCCCCAAATCTATGGACAGTATTTTGTCGGGACACCACTGTCATTTCATTGATTGGATGCGTACGGAATATCGAAGGATCAATGGCCATTTGCAATGAGTGAAAAATGAAAATAAAGATCAGTACGGTAGAAGGAACAGTACCCCAGGAACACCGAAAACGTTTTTGCGGCGGCGCCAAAGTGTTGTATGTATTAGTAAAGCTTTTGATGGTTGTATTAGTAACTGTATGAAGACTGAGGGTGGATCGGCCACAAGTCGTGTGTTCACCCCGTATCGCGACAACAGGACACCTTGTTGTACCTCTTCACCAAAAAATCACCAACCATTCCACCACCAACCACTCACTAACTAATCAAGTATCAATAATTTAAATAACGTTATTATTTAAATACTGGCTAATTGAAATGTCACGTGTACAAGTGTTCCTACCCC